CGTGTGAAGTCACCACCCTGACACATAAACCCTGGAATAATTCTGTGAAAGCAGGAACCCTTATAACCAAATCCTTTCTCTCCAGTGCTCAGAGCACGAAAATTTTCTGCTGTCTTTGGAACCTTGTCTGCAAACAGCTCGAAGGAGACGCGGCCCAAGGGCTCGCCGTCGACAGCAATGTCGAAGAACACGGTAGGGTTGACCATGGCTAGTAGTACAGGACTTTCCTCGGCGGCAGCGTCTGCAAAGCCGAGCCTGTATTTCTTCATCTGCAAAATGAGGGGGATAATAATCTACCTCGTGTGGTAATGATGAGGATTCAATGGCATATATAAAGCCCCTGACATGAATGGATGGATGGCAATCCTTCTAGCAAGATCTCTTTGGGAAAGAAAATGCTGGTCTGACCCCTAACACTTCCCTCAGGGTTTTCACACCCCTGTGAGGTTCTCTCAGAGTATGAGTAATGCATCCCCCTCCCTCTTTGACCTGAATGTGGGCAAAGAAAACCCCAAAGCCCTTCAATTCCATCTCCAGACTCTGCTAAAACTTATGGAGAAGCCACAAGGGAAATAATCAAGAAAAAGCGGAAGCTCCCACCTGATCGTATTTACAAGGTTCTTGCCTCTGACCCTCCTGGGAGGCCCTGTTCCATCTTTCCCTCAACAAGGGGCTGCCCCTAGAGACCCTCTACCTGCTGGCCCTGTGCCCCTTCCTGTCCCCTCCCTCTTCAGCAGAGCCAGGGTCAGGTGCCTCAGGCAGGAAAAAGCCCAAAGCAGCCCTTCCCAGGGTTGCCAGAAGGCAGTAGCATGGGGGCTGTGGCTGGTACAGGCGCTCTCAGCATCCTTGGACCCCAACCCCTCTTCTGGAGTTAGGTGGGGTGAGACCCAGGCCCCAGGCCACAGAGCCAGGAGGCCGGACGTGGAGGTGGCCAGTGGCACCCACCATCCGTCCATCCATGTGTCTCCATGACTTTTCCCTTACTCCCCTCCGCTACCTTTGGCCCTGTTGAGCTTCCTGACACAGCAACAGCTGCTTCCTAAGCCACAGCCCAAAGTCCCATTTCCACCCCAGACCATCCTTGGGGGATCAGGCCTGAGTCTTTTGTCCTCACTGGCGCCAGGAAAGAAGGCAGTGGTAGCCCTGCTTTCCTGCCCTTGTGTTTAAAGGAATGGAGTGGAGGCATCTCAGTAAACAGCGGAGGGAGGAGGGGCCAGAGGCTTCTGTTTCCTGAAGTGCAATGCTGCAGCCCCCTGCATTGGAGTGCTGGCCTCGGAGGGCACAGTCTCTTCTTGCAGCAGTAGCCTTGGGGCAGGTTCCCTGCTCCAGATAATGGGCACAGGGACCCTTATTCTCTTGCCCCTGGTCCCCAGAGCACCACCCTCAGCCTGGGTCCTAGGACTGCCATGTCACCTTGGTCTCAGAGCCAAGGAAGGTTCAGAGAAAACATCAGGGAGTTCTGGAAAGAGAAGAGCAGGGAGTCAAGAAATCTGGGTCCTGTTTTCTATTTGGGCCACCACCTGCTGTGTGACCATGGGCAAGACCTTTACCCTCTCTGGGCCTCAGTTTCATCTTTTGTAAAAGCACACTAGAGTCTGTAGCACTGCCAGAGTCCCTGGACCACACCCCTGGAGGGTTCAGCGGGGGCTGGGGCCCTGGAGAGTGCATCTCTAACAGCTCCCTGACCCCTGGGCATTCTGAAAGGGGATTTGCTTTAATCTGAGAGAAAGGTTGGGCTAGAGATCTCAAAGGTTCCTCTGGATCTAGCTCCGATGTTCTGTAATTATAAAAGGAGGCATGGAAAGAAGGCGCCTGGAGAAGATGCTCACATGGCTCCTGGTGCCCACCCTGCCTGGCACCTGGCGGGAAATCAGGTTCCCACCTGTGAGTCCCCCACGGGCACTCTGTCCGGCTCACACCCTGAAGGACTGGTCTTGGGGCTCACAGAGGTTCCTCCAAGGTGGGGAGCAAGTGCTGCCTCCAGGTCAGGCATGCAGGCCCAGGTAGGAAGTTACAGAAGCAGAGCCCAGAAATCTTGACTTGCAGCCCCAAGGGGATCTGAGCTTGGGCTTCCCTACGCCTCTGTCCTTACCAAGTGTGAGAGGTAGACCTTCTCGTTCCTCTGTGTCTCCATGTCCTGTCGAGCTGAAAGAGATGTAGAAGCAGGAGCTCCTTGAAGCCAGGTGTAGCCGAGAATGGCCTGGAGCTCGGCCCAGAAAGGCGTACTGGCCCCCTTGCATAAGGGAGCAGGGGCCTCCCAGAGGCAGGAGGCAGCCAGATGGGCCGAAGAGCCCCTTCCAGCTCAGCCCCTTGGGAATGACCCAGTCTTCTGAGATCAGTGCATGGAAATGATCTCATGAGGGTCAGAAACTGGCTGGGAAAAGAAATCTGTGTGCTAAGGTCACTGCTACTTAAGCCTTAGTGTGCACATAGGACACCCTGGACATTTTCATACAGTGCAGAGTCTAATCCAGTAGGCTGAGGTGAGAGTCTCAGGGTCTGTATTTCTAACAGGCTACCAAGGGTTGCCACCGCTGCTAGCTGGCAATCAAAGTTTGGGAGGCAAGGTGCTAAGTGGCTCTGAGGTTGTGACCAGGAATGCTCCCACCCTGGATTCCTCAGAGGGGACCTGGACAAAGCCCACATTTCCTCCTAGGAGCCACATGGAAGAGACGGAAAGCGGGCCCAGGATTCCCCCATGGCCACCTCCACGGGGACGACATTGTGATTATCTTCCTGGCTTCACCACTTCCTAGCTATGCAAACAAAGGGCAAGCTGCTTAACCACTCTGTGCCTCAGTTTTTCCCTCTGGAAAATGGGTGTACTCCACAGTGTGGAGGAGATTAAAGGGGATAAGCAAGATAAGCTCGGGATAGTGCCTGGCACATGGTAGCTCTTATTACTGAGATTTCGGTTAATCCTTTTAGTCTTTGCCATCCAGCACAGCAGCCAGAAGCCACACATGGCCATCAGGCACTGAAATGTGACTATTTTACATTAGACTGGGTTTTGATGGCTCAATATGAAAAATGAAAAACATGAAAGTAGAATATGTATCATTGATATTTTCATATTGATTCCGTATCAAAATGAGAATGTTTTGGACATATTGGGTTAAATAAAGTACATTATTAAAATCAACTTCACTAGATTGGGCGTAGTGGCTCATGCCTGTAGTTCTAGATACTCGGGAGGCTGAGGCAGGAGGATCGCTTGAGCCCTGGAGTTCAAGGCTGCAGTGAGCCATGATCACACCACTGCACTCCAGCCTGGGCGACAGAGTGTGACCCTATCTCTAAAAAAATAAGTAATTAAAATAAAATAAAATACACTTAACTGCACTCATTTCTTTTTACTCTTTTTCATGTGGCTATTCAAAAGTTTTAAATGACATTTGTGACTTGTATTCTATTTCTGTTTGATGTATATCTGTGATTTGAGATAAATGAGGCTTAGGGCAGTTAGATGACTTGCCTGAGCTCACACAGCTGAAAAGTGGCAGAGCTGGGATTTGAGCCCCAGTCTATGGAAGGGACTGAGCAGCTCTAGAGACCCAGTGGCAGGAGTGGGGTTACAATGTCTGTCCTGCTCAAGTTCAAGTGCTTGGTCCTGCATTGCCCCTGGCAGTTGGTTCCCACACAAGGAGCTGGCCATGAATTCCCTGGGATCAACAGGTAGAGAAGTGTTTGATCAGTTCGGACAGGCAAGAAGCTGAGAACCCTTCATTCTCCCATTTCCCCTTGTGAATCGCTTTCCTAATGTTGATTACCTCGTGGCTCCTTCAGAAGGGAGGCCACAGCTCCTGATGCCCACATTTCAGACAGACACGCTGAGACCCACAGGGTCTTTCCGGGGCTAGACGGGGACCTGCAGGTCTCAGCGAGGTCCCTGGTCCAATGAGCCTCCCACCTTCCTGCCACCCACCTTTGCTCACCTTCCTTTCTCCACAGGAGCAGGTGGCTGCTGAAGGCGATCAGGCCTGCGGCTGACAGAAGGCTCAGCAGCACCAGGACTGGGGCCAGTATGCGGACCATTGGGATGGACACCCTGGAGATGAGACACAAGGAGCCTAGTGGCTGTTACCAGATAAGCCAGAGTCTATGTCCTTTGGGGGTACCAAGTACAGGCTGAGAAAGCCAATCCCTAGTGTGGAATTCAATTCAATGCAGCAAAGACTTGTGGGGGGTGTGGTGCGGGAGGGCGATATTTAGTGCTATTGGCTCTTGACAATCATTATTTAATTAGTGCAGACCCTGAAGCCAGGCTGTCTGGATTCAAACTCTAGCTCCACCACCTTCCTATACCTTGGGTAAGTGACTGAACCGCCCAGGGTGTCAATTTCCTCCTTTGTAAAATGGCTGTGGTGAGGATCAAATGGGTCAGGATGTGAAAAGCACATAGTTCAGTGCCAGACACATGCCAGGTACCATGTCAGTGTTAGTTGTTAAATTCCACAATCCCTGTGTAACTAGGTAGGAGTGGCTCAATTTCACACTGGAGAAACTGACACCTGAAGCAATGAGCGACTTGCCAGGTCACGCAGTGGTGTGCGGGGAAGTTCTCAGTGGCCTTTATCTGGGCTGGTGTCACTGGCACAGGCAAGTGGGGCATCCTGGCATTCTTACTGTGAGTCAAGCCATGTCCTTTATCTCTCCCAAGGAGATCAGAGGGCACTAGGGACCACGATGTCCCATCAGCCCTGTCTGGCGTGGGAGGGATCCCTGCTCCCGTTGCCAACCCCAGGATTCACTTTCAGCAGGATCTGAACCTGCCAGCAGCTGCCTGGATGTTGGTAGCCAAGTGCATTTACAACCCCCAAGAACCAATCCTTCAGGCTGGGACTCCAGTTGTAAGGAAAAAAATTGTTTTGTTTTGGATTCTGAGTTTTCATGCTTGGCACAGGGCTTAGTGCAAAGTATATAGGCAAAAGCCCCCGAACTGGGGGGGCCATCCCTGAGGCTGGGGCAGGGAGAGAGGTGGGGACTGCGACCCTGGTGGACCCTTCGCCTTGGACAGGCAGCAGAGCTGCTGGCTCCTATAGTGCAAGCTGTCTACTGCTCAAGGGTCCCTGTGAGGGACCCTCTGTGCTGCAGGCTGTGGCCATGACACGAAGATGTGTCTGCTTAGAGGAAAGGCCACTGGGTTCCTATTTGCTCAAAGGCAGCTTATGGTTTAGTGATGGCCTGAAAGGTGATGTTGGTCACCTGGGGCTCACCTGGGCTTAGAGCTGCCGCTGCTGAGAGCTGGACTGGCATCCTCTGCTGAGGTGGAGTCCAGCTGCTTCGGGGGGCGGGAGCTCCCTGCAGGAGGAGAGGTCGCTGCATGAGGAGAGGTTGCTGCGTACTGAGAAGTTCTTTCGTGCCCGTACCGGGAAGTCCCTGGGAATGGAGTGGCCTCAGCCCCTGTCTTCCCCTGCTTGGCTGTGGTTCCTGCTGGGTAGAGCCCAGGAGAAGCTACAAGTCCAAAAGCAATGCCTCAGCATCCTTCCTGACCCTTGCATCCCAGCATCCCAGACCTCTGACCCTTGACCCCTGAACCCTAGCCTCTCTGGGACCCATTTCTCAGAACATCCCCAGCTAAAGGATACCCCAGTAAGCAAACAGATGTAGATGAAGCCATTCTGAGGAAGCAGACCGTAGATCAGACACACCCCACAGCTGTGTGTGATGTTCAGTCTCTTTCTGTGCCCACAGCCTGTTCCCTCTGTGGGGAGGTATAAGCACTCCCCTTCCTCGCTTCCATGACCCTTTCCAGTGACCATTCAGTGGCCACTTTCCTGCCCTCCCTCTACAGTCACAGTCAATTGTCACCTCCTTCCTCACCAGAAGGGCAGGTCCTCCCCTCACCACCATGTGCCCCCTCCCCACCACCCGTGCCTCAGTAAGGCCTTGACTTCCTTCTGCAGCCATGAGACCAAGAAGGGCAGGTGGCAGGGACGAGTCCAGAGGTCAGGGCCCAACGCCCGGCCTTTCTGGCTTGCCCCCAAGACTCTGGATGGCACAGACAGAACACGAGCTTTGGGGTCAGGCTGTGACCACTTCCAGGCTCTGGCGCTTCCTGTGTGACCCTAAGCGAGTGACCTAACCCTGCTGAGCCTGTACTTCCACAGCTGGACAACCCAGTTCCCAGGCTTGTGGGGACACCTAAGTGGTCATGAAGTATTGTGTCTGGTACCAGGCAGGCACTCACTGGCTGCTTCTGTAAGAAGGGTGGCAAGGGATGGGGCGGAATCACCATTCACTCACTCAATCCTGGGGGCTGGGTTTGCTGAGTTTTTGCCTTGGGCTGCAGGCGTGTTGTAGCCAGAAGCTGGAAGGTGGGAGAAGGGGAGGGAGGACAGCAGGGTCCTAGAGGAAAGGGAGAGGCTGCTCTCAGGGGCGGCACCGCTCTGAACCCCTTTTCCTTCCTTGGGAGGAGCTGGCAGCTTTCCTACCCCCAACCTCAGCACAGAGCACTGCTGTCTTTCGCCTCGGCCAACCAGGAGCCACGTGGTAGGTTCCAGCAGATCCCTGGTCTTCTCCTTCTGCAGCCCCCTGGCCTCTCGCCTAGCTCAGACCCTCAGTTTCCCCTGTCCCCAGCTGCCTCTCAGCCTGCTTCTTCCCTGCCACCCTTCACATTATGCCAGTTTTGTCTCAAAAGTCTGTGTTGGATCCCATCCCTCTCTGCCTTAGAACAGTGAGTGGCTCTCCATTGCCTATAAGCCGAAGTTCAAACTTTTTTTTTTTTTTTTTTGAGACAGAGTCTCGCTCCGTCGCCCAGGCTGGAGTGCAGTAGCGGGATCTCAGCTCACTGCAAGCTCCGCCTCCTGGGCTCACGCCATTCTCCTGCCTCAGTCTCCCAAGTAGCTGGGACGACAGGCGCCCGCCGCCACGCCCAGCTAATTTTTTGTATTTTTAGTAGAGATGGGGTTTCACCGTGTTAGCCAGGATGGTCTCGATCTCCTGACCTGGTGATCTGCCCCAATCGGCCTCCCAAAGTGCTGAGATTACAGGTGTGAGCCGAAGTTCCAACTTTTCAGTATGCCTTTTGAGGCCTCTTAAACTCAGGCTTCAGGCTGGGCGTGGCAGCTCACACTTGGGCAATAAGAACAAAATTTTGTCTCCAAAAAAAAAAAAAGAAAAAAAAGCAAAGAACAAAACTCAGGCTTTGAACCACCTTGTCAACCTCGCCTCTTTCCCTGTTCAGTGCTCCAGCCATAGAGTTGTCCTCTATTCCCGACTAAGCCAGCCTCCCGCCCACCTCCGTGCCTTGGACATGCTGTTCCTCTGTGTACAATGGCTTTCGTTTCCATCTCTGCCTGAAGCACTTCTTTCTGTCCTTCAGCACAAGCTCAAGGTCAACTCCTCTGAAATGTCTTCCCCAGAAGCAGCGAATCTTTTTTCCTTTGTGCACTCGCTAATGCTCACTTACACTGCAATTTCTTGTGTACGGGGTCTCCCTGCTAGGCTGAGACTCCTTAAGGGCAAAATGCCTATCCTCTGTGCCCAGCACAGTGGGCAGAAACCTGATACAACCAACCCCCCAGGAGCTTACTCCGGTCCCCACTTCCCCAAGTCTGTCTGTCACCTCCCCAGTCCTTGCTGACTGTGTGCCATCCTGGACTCTCCCTCTTTGTCCACTACCTTCTCTTCTTCAGATTGAGTATCCCCTATCCAAAATGCTTGGGAGCAGAAGTGTTTCAGATTTCGGAATATTTGCATTATATCTGCTGATTCAGCATCCCTAATCTGGAAATCTGAAATCCAAAATGCCCCAGTGAGCATTTCCTTTGTGTGTGTGATGCTGGCACACAAAAAGTTTCGGACTTTGGAGTATTTTGCATTTTTGGATTAGGGATACTCAATATGTAACACTAGGTCAGTTTATTCTTGGATTTTTCTAAGTAGATAATAAAATCTTTTGCAAATGCAGAGGATTTATCTTTTCCTTTCCAACATTTATACTTCTTCCTTTTTTTTTGAGACTGAGTCTTGCTGTCTACCAGCGAGTGCAGTGGCGCGATCTCGGCTCACTGCAACCTCCGCCTCCCGGGTTCAAGCAATTCTCTGCCTCAGCCTCCTGAGTAGCTGGGATGACAGGTGCCTGCCACTATACCTGGCTAATTTTTGTATTTTTAGTAGAGACGAGGTTTCACCATTTTGGCCAGGCTGGTCTTGAACTCTTGATCTCATGATCCACCCACCTTGATCTCCCAAAGTGTTGGGATTACAGGCGTGAGCCACCACATCTGGCCTTATACTTCTTAATCTTGCATATTTCATTGCCTAGGGTCTTCAGACAAAGATGAATAAAAGAAAATGATAGTAGGCTGGTCAGGTGCAGTGGCTCATACCAGCAATCTCAGTACTTTGAGAGGCCGAGGTGGGCAGATGGCTTGAGTCCAGGAGTTTGAGACCAGACAGGCCAATATGGCAAAACCACATCTTAAAAAAAACAAAAAACAAAATGTAGCTAGGCACAGTGGCTTGTGCCTGTGGCCCCAGTTACTCTGGAGGCTGAGGTGGGAGGATTACTTGAGCCTGGGAGGCAGAGGTTGTAATGAGCCAAGATTGTGTCACTGCACTCCAGTCTGGATGACAGAGTGAGACCCCATTTCAGAAAAATGAATGAATGAATGAATGAATGAATAATAAATAAATAAATAAAAAGAAAAGAAATGATAGTGGGTACATCTGTCTTTTTCTGACTTTCTTAGAAATTCTTCCCATGGTTCACCATATTCAATGGTGTGCTGGAGATGGCTCGCACTGGCTCACAAGAGCTCATTGTCAACTTTTCAGGAATTGGTGAGACCGTTGTTAAACTGTCGATGGCTGGAAATTGGCCATGGGAATTGGACCACAGAAATGGACACCATAGAAATTGGAAAACCCGACAAAATGAGAGCATCAGCATCCCCAGCCTGCTCAACATTTACCAGCACACCACTGTCGTGAGTCTTCTTCATTTTCAATATCCCAACTGCCATCAGAGAGAGGCCAACAAAGTCTGATACAGGAGGATAATATAGCAATACACATATCATACGCAAATAAAGAATTACAAATGAGGGTAAGTCTAAAACACAGGTGAACTTGCTCATAACTTGCAGAAATGACATATGAACACTGATAAGAATTGGAAGAGATAAGAGAATCTTGTAAATAATGAAGAACAGATTCAACGTAGTTTGATGCTACTGCTTTTTGGCAAGTTTACTTTTATTTCCCCAAATTAAAGATCCATGGATAAGGGAATAAAAAAAAATTAGGGGATATGGTGGTAGGGATGGGCCTGGGATTGGGATAGGTCCCAGCTATGGGGCTAGAAGAGGAATAAAGCAGACATCAAAGCTGGAAATGACTTGTGTTTTAATCCTGGTTCCACCACTTCCTGCTGTGAGATCTTGGGCAAATCACTTAGTCTCTTGGACTCTCAGTCCCTCATCTGTGAAATGGGGATACAAAGACATACTTCGCCCTCACTGGCCAGCAGACCAAGGCTCCCACTCCCCTGGGCCCTCTCTGGCTTCTTTCTCCTTAGCTCATCAGGTCCAGGGTTCTGGGCTCCCAGAGAGGTGTTCTATCCTCTACCAGTTCCCACAGCTCCAGCCTTGGTCCCCTAGTGTCCCTGCATTTAACGATCTCTCCTTCAGGCACACTACCCAGAGGCTGGTTCCCAGGCACTCTAGCACCTGTGGCTAGACTTCAATATCTGGGGAGGTGGAGGCCAGGAGGGCAGAGGTGAGGGCACATGCAGGGTGAGGCTAGCATGACCAGGGCTGAGGTGACGCTGTGGGCTGGGTCTGGAATGCAGCAATTGTTGGCCCAGCCTCGGGAGGCCTCAGGAATATCTCTGACACCAGGCGAGGAGTCTTCTTTATGCCCTGATATGTCTATCTTGTACCCAGCCTATGGAAATCTCCTTCTAGCACATCTGGGCAGAAAGGAAAGGCACCGAGTCCAGCCCTGGACAGATCTGGGTCCAGTCCTGCTCTGACATCCACTAGTGGTGTGACCGTGGGCAGCAAGAGTGAAAGAATGGCCAAGACTCATGCAGCTCCCTCTGTGCCCCAAGCCTTGCTCAGCACTTGACCTGCATGATCTCCCTAAGGACTCAGTGCCCATAAGGTTTGCACCAGGATTATGCCCCACTGCCCCTCCCGCTTCCCTCTGCAGCTCCTGTCCCTAGCCTGGGAAAGGAGAGATATTTGTTACCTGGAAAGACGAACAGAGATATCAGTAAAGACTCATCGGGGCCCCGTTTTTCGACCCCACACCAGTACTTCCCAGCGTCTTGCAGGGTGAGGTTCCACAGTGTCACAATTAGCGAGAGCTCCTGGCGGCTGTCACGGATGGACACCCTGCCCTCCGTCGTCTCCTGGCCTTCTTTTCCCGCATAGATGGTGCCAGAGCAGCGAGGGAAGAGGAGCCCACCCTTCCTGCACCAGTACTTCCGGTGGTCCCTCAGCTCTTCCCTATAGGTGCACCGCAGGGACACAGTGTCCCCTTCGAACCCACTGATTTCCTTCGGGCCCTCCAGGGCTTCATAACCTAAAATCAGAGCAGGAGTGGAGGTTGGAATAACCAGGCTCCATGTACCAAGGTCAAGGCCAGAGCTTCCATTTTAGGAGGAGGAAGGAAGGCTTTTCTCAGTCATCCCTTCTGGGGACAGCCTTGGAAGAGCCATTACTTCCTTCCTACACTGGGCGAACTTGGGGCAGGGCTGTTGCTGTTTCCCTAACCCTGGCCCATTGAGGAATTGGGGCTGGGGGAGTGTTCTAGGTTCAGATGGAATTTAACAGCCAGATAGCCAGCAGGGTTTCTGGGTGTTTTGTTTTGTTTTGTTTTGTTTGTTTTTGAGATGGAGTCTCGCTCTGTTGCCCAGGCTGGAGTGCAGTGGCATGATGTCTGCTCACTGAAACCTCTACCTCCCAGGTTCAAGCGATTCTCCTGCCTCAGCCTCCTGAGTAGCTGGGACTACAGCCATGTGCTACCATGCCCGGGTAATTTGTTGTATTTTTAGTAGAGACAGGGTTTCACTGTGTTGGCCAGGATGGTCTTGATCTCCTGACCTCGTGATTCACCCGCCTCAGCCTCCCAAAGTTCTGGGATTACAGGCATGAGCCACCACGTCTGGCTTTGTTTTGTTTTTATACAGGATCTCACTCTGTTGCTCAGGCTGGAGGACACTGGTGCTCATGGCTCACTGTAGCTTTGACCTCTGGGGCTCAAGCGATCCTCCCACCTTAGCCTCCCACTAGCTAGGACTGCAGGTGTGCACCACCACGCCTGGCTAATTTGTTTGTTTGTTTGTTTGTAGAGATGGGGTCTCACCATTGCCAAATGAACAACTGACATCAGTTGTAGGATGCATCCTGATTTTAAGTGTTAGAAGGTAAAGAAAAAGAAAGCAAAAGAATTGACGAAACGTGATAATAATTCCTCTCTCAGGGTTGTGGGGAGAGGCACAGCCGAGATTCAACAAATGTCTGCTAAGTTTAACAGAGCAACCAGACGGGGTGTCTTGTCTGCCTCCAGGATTGGCAGAGGGTAGAAAAATTAAGATTAGAGAGGCAAAGCAACTCTCACAGCCACAATGCCATGAGGGGAAACCCACAGGTCTGAGAGAAAACCTGGCTCTAGGTTGCAGAAACTGCAAGTGGGGCCCGGCGCCGTCCCCACCTCACCCCACCCCCACCCCGCCCGGCTCCCCTAGGGTTGAGGAGGCTGAGGATAGGTGGGGTGGGCTATCAGGCAGTCAGGAGGTCCTTCCCCTGCAGACTCCAAGGGTGAGCCCCACATCCCTCCCAAGACCGCCTCCCCATCTCACCTGGGAGCACCAGGCAACCCCATAGCAGGACCAGAAGCCGCATTCTGGGCGCTGGACACCGCCGGAGCAGACGCTGGGAACTGTGAGCTCCTCTTCAGCCACGCGGGTCTTTAACTTCCTCCAGTCGCGCGAAACCAGGCCAAGGAAGCGAGGGGAGGGGCGTGAACCAGGCCCAGCCGGAGAGGCGCCTCTGCCTTCCCTTTTCTGAGCGCCCATGCGTGCCTACCCCTCGGCTCACCTCCTAGGACTGAAAACCCACACTGGCGCTTCTCCCAAACTCTTGCCCCTTCAAGGGGGCCTTAACCTGTGGTCCGTGCGCCCTAAGGGGTCTGTAAGTCGAATTCGCATGGGAAAAAGTTACATATTGACTTTCATCAACTTCTAATATTTAGCTTTTCCTCGTATTAACAGTGTACTGTTAGCAGTACCTGTAACTTTGTTACCAATTACAATCACAGACACTGGCACATCAGGTTGTGGATATCTGGAAACCTCGTGTGTACTCCTCACTGTTTAGAAAATAATGAGTTCCGGCCAGGCGCGGTGGCTCAAGCCTGTAATCCCAGCACTTTGGGAGGCCGAGACGGGCGGATCACGAGGTCAGGAGATCGAGACCAACCCGGCTAACATGGTGAAACCCCCTCTCTACTAAAAATACAAAAAATTAGCCGGGCGTGGTGGCGGCGCCTGTAGTCCCAGCTACTCGGGAGGCTGAGGCAGGAGAATGGCGTAGACCCGGGAGGCGGCGCTTGCAGTGAGCCGAGATCGCGCCCCTGCACTCCAGCCTGGGCGACAGAGCGAGACTCCGTCTCAAAAAAAAAATAAAATAAAATAAAATAAAGAAAGAAAATAATGAGTTCCGAGACCTGCCTCTAGAGCTGGTTATTAACCATAATGAAACGGCTATTATATTACACATTTATAAAGAGTTTTGAGCATCATCTCACCAGTATTAGTTTTCTTTTCAGCATATATATTTTATTTATATATTTACGCGCCATTATACTGAGAGAGGGGTCCATAAACTTCAGCAGACTGCCATGTGGTCAGTGGTACAGAAAGAAGCTTGTCCCTGGGGCAAGGCCCTGGGCCCCTCCTCCGCCATCGCCTTTTGGAGGGCGCAGTACTGCCCTTGGCCACGGGGCGGCGGTGCAGACGGGGCTGAGCAAAGCCGTAGGGCTGAGTTTAGGCGAATTCCCTTGAGCCTTGGGCCGGCAGGGCTGCAAGATAGGTCTCCCCCACGCCTGCGGAGTTGTTTTGGCGTTTGAAAAAGTGAATTGGTGGTTTCTCCATCGCGGACTTGAATCCTCCTTGAAAGGACCAAAACAAACGTGCAAACTATTGGGAGCCCAGACACACTGGCTTGAAAAATGACTTTTTTTTTTTGGTCTGTTTGCAAAGTTCATACAGATTGTAAGCAAAATTTTACACAATACAGAACGTAAAAAGGAAAGAAAGAAAAAAAGGAGTGTTTCTTGTAATTCCCCTTCTGCTTTAGAAAAGCACCATTAATATTTTGGCATATATCATTCCAAATGTTCAGTTGGAATTTTACTCACTTGTCAGGTTAATATTTGAAGCATTAATTCAGTGGTTCTGGGAGGGGAGATTGTGTGTGTGTGTGTGAGTCTAGTAACGTGGGGAGAAGTGTTTTAATTTCACAATGACTGCGAAGCACTGCTGCCATTTCTGGGCAGGGACAGCTGTTCACGTTGGTGAAAACTCTGTTACCATGATCTCAGCCCCTGCCTCCCTTTTACATGTACAGGCTACAAAATGTGATCTGTTTTTGCAGTTAAAAAAAAACACATATTAAAAAATATTTGGCCAGGTGCCACGGCTCACGCCTGTAATCCCAGCACTTTGGGAGGCCGAGGCGGGCGGATCACGAGATCAGTAGTTCAAGACCATCCTGGCCAATAGGGAGAAACCCGGTCTCTACTTAAAAAAATACAAAAATTAGCTGGGCATGGTGGCACGTGCCTGTAATCCCAGCTACTCTGGAGACTGAGGCAGGAGAATTGCTTGAACCAGGACCCAGAAGGCAGAGGTTGCAGTGAGTCGAGATGGTGCCACTGCTCTCCAGCCTGGGCTACAGAGTAAGACTCCGTCTCAAAAAAATAAATTAAAAAAATAATTATGGCCCAGCACGGTGGCTCACGCCTGTCATCCCAGCACTTTGGGAGGCCGAGGTGGACGGATCACCTGAAGTCGGGAGTTCGAGACCAACCTGACCAACGTGGAAAAACCCAGTCTCTAATAAAAATATAAAATTAGCCAGGCGTGGTGGCACATGCCTATAATCCCAGCTACTCAGGGAGGCTGAGGCAGGAGAATCGCTTGAACTCAGAAGGTGGAGCTTGCAGTGAGCTGAGATCACGCCATTGCACTCCAGCCTGGACAACAAGAGTGAAACTCTGTCTAAAAAAAGAAAAAAAATTATTTGTTTATTTATTTACTTATTTTGAGACGGGTCTCACTCTTGTTGCCCAAACTGGAGTGCGGTGGCATCATCACAGCTCACTGCAGCCTCAAACTCCCAGACTCAAGTGATGCTCCCACCTCAGCCTCCCAGGTAGCTGGCACTACAGGCGTACACCACCATGCCTGGCTAATTTTTTATTTTTAGTGGAGACAGGGCCTTGTTAGGTTGTCCAGGCTTGTCTCAAACTCCTGGTTTCAAGCAATCCTCCCACGGTGGCCTCCCAAAGTGCTGGGATTACAGGCACGAGCCACCATGCCTGGCCTTAAAATAATATTTATTCTAACATTTGATAGCATATCTTTGCTCTTTTATTTATTTATTTTTGTCCTTACACAGAATAATTTCTGATCCTCTACGTTTCTTAAATTCAGACTTATTTATTATATGCAAGATAAGTATCTGACACTTCATTACACTTTCTAGGGTCATGGGACCTGAGCACTGACAGATTGAAATATGTGCCATTTGGTTATAAATCGCTTTCCTTTTATTTTTTTCTCCCTAGTATAGCTCAGGCACTAGAGTGTGATTTTAAAAAAGTAAGTGCATGAGAAGGCATATTATTTACGATTGTCATTTTAAGAGAGTAAGTGAGGTGTTACCAAATGTTTATCTATATAAAGAGGGTGTTGAGTGGGTCCCTACCCTCTTCCTGCATATTTGAAGGTCCTACCCCTCCACTTCCCAGCCCCACACCTAGCTCAGGAGGCTGGCTCAAGAACTCCATTAGAAACAGATTCACCAGGCTGGGAAGTGGAGCAAGGGCTGGGGAGAAGGGTGAAAGTGAGGTGCTGGCATGAGCCTTGCACCAAGTTCTACCCTTAGGCCATACTCTGGGGTAGAAGGGGCCGACAGGCAGACCGCCGTGGTGGGCTGGGGATCTGAGGAGAGAGGACGCTTTCGTCCTGCTTCCCACCAGAAGCACGGGGAGGTGCCCCACCATCACTGCATCTGGGAGAGGCAACGGGGCACAAGGGCTCCTGGACAGATCACTGGGCTCGTGGCAGCCTCATCGCATCCTCAGGAAGGGCTCTGTGTGCCGAAGAGGTGCAATTGCAGGGATGAGGGGACTGAGCTGCTTGATCTTCGATGGCCACCCTGGTCCAATTCCTTTCGGTTTGGACTTGGACTAAATCACTTCAGCTGCTCCAGGAGGGTCACTTGCTTCTCTTAGATCAAGGTTTCCCCAACCTCAGTACTATTGACATCTTGGGTTAGATAATTCTTTGTTGTGGGAGACTGTCCTGTGAATTATAGGATGTTTAGCAGCATCTCCAGCTGTACCCCCTAGATGCCAGTAGTCCCTCCCCAGTTGTGATGATCAAAAATGTCTCCAGGCTGGGTGAGGTGGCTCACGCTTATAATCCCAGCACTTTGGGAGGCCAAGGTGAGTGGATCGCTTGAGCCCAGGAGTTTGAGACCAGCCTGGGCAACATGACAAAACCCCATCTCTGCAAAAAATACAGAAAATTAGCCAGGCATGGCAGTGTGCACCTGTGGTCCCAGCTACTCAGGAGGCTGAGGTGACAGAATCACCTGGGCCTGGGAGGTCAAGGCTGCAGGGAGTCAAGATCCCACCACTGCACCCCAGCCTGGGCGATGGGAGTGAGACCTTGTCTCAAAAAAAAAAAAAAAAAAGCCTCTGGGCATTGTCAAACATTCCACTGGGAGGTAAAAATATCCTGGGTTAGAACTGCTGTCTTAGATGTTGAATAAGTCTATGGACAAGTAAGTGTACTTTTGCGTAAGTTATGTTTATTGTTTATGTAGGTCGGGGTGTTCCATCTTTTGGCTTCCCTGGGCCACAATGGAAGAAGAAGAATTGTCTTGGACCACACATGAAATACAGAAACACTAATGATTGTTTTGGGCAGCATTTAAAGCCATCCTGCGCTGCATGCAGCCCGTGGGCCACGGGGGGATAAGCTTGATGTAGGCGTAGTAACAAGGTTTTGGAAACAGGACAGTGGACAGAACCTAATGCTGAACCCCAGAATTAGGTAAAACTGCATCCCTCTTCCCTCAGTGGAGCTGGGGCCATGCCCGTAATACTCAGGGGGAGGTGTGGTGTAGCAATTTAGAATACATACTTTTTGCAGGTGGGCCAGCTCCCCAGAGAAAAGGAATCAGAGGACTGAATTACACACGCCTTGTTCCTCCTTCAGCATTCGTCAATCAAATCAGCAGAGGCATGGAGAAAGGCATGGAGAGGCATAGAGAGAGGCGTGGAGAGAGTCCTAGAGTTTTGGGCCAGTGGGGTTCTCTGCTCGTGGAAGGAAACATCAGCAGTGGGGAAGATGTGTCCCCGCAAAGATAAATGAGCCACAAGATGGGAAAATTTGGATTCCTGAGCTACCACTTGGAAGACAACTGCCCTGGACAGCCACCAAGCGTGCGGCAGACTTGGAGTGAGCAAGCGACAGACTTTTCTGTGTTTAGCCACTGAGATCTTGCAGTTTGCTCGTTGCTGTAGCACAGTGTAGACCACCACCATGCTTTTTGTTTTCTGTCACACATTCATCCTCTAGTCTCCCCTCAGCTTCCC